CATTTATTGCAACTTCAGCACTACATGATCGTTATTTTATAACATCGAGTAAACCCTTGGCACAATTAAGTTGTGTTAGAGTTAAATTTTGATTTCAAAATGAGGGTTAAACTTAGTCTGTTAAGTCATACGATTACAATAACTCAATTATTTAAAATAAAATAATACAAAATTAATGTTGCACTTTGACAAAAACAAATTACCTTTTATAAGTACTTCTATAAAATAAATGTTTTATAAGTACATATGTGAATATGAGGTAGAAATAAATTGACTAGAAATTCCGAAAAATGTTTGAAATCAGTGTAATAAATAAAGTGTAAGTTGTAACGAGTAAAGAGTAAGCAACACAATACGCCAACCCAAACACCCCCCAAGTCGATCCGATCGCAACCCGCCCGAATCGTAACCCTATCAACCCGTAATCTGATGAATTCGCAACTCGACTGACCCGTAACCCGATTGAACCCCAACCCGGCTAACCTTAACACGGTTGAACATGAATCTGACTAACCCGCAACCGATGAACCTGAAAATCTATAACCCGATTGAACCCAACCCGAACCCACCCGATTGACACCTCGAAATAAAAAGGGTGTTAGTACTCTATCTCTTCTCGATTTCTTATTTGCCCCGGAAATTAAAATTTTTTATCATTAACTAGTTCAATACAAATAAGAAATATAGGCGGTATCACAGAAGAATGACACGAATAATGTTTATTATGTGTATTTCCGTATTACTATTTGAACAATTACTCTCCTACGAATATGTAAAAGAAATGTAAGAATCACATCCTAATTTATTGGAAAGAATTATGGTGGTTTATGCAGTTTGATAATGTGAAATTATTAGAACTTCATCAAGTTGGCAAGGAATACTATTATAGACATTAATTATAAGATTGCCAAATTATCACCAAAGTGGATAGACTTAATGGTGTAATAATTGATAATCTCGGGGGGTTTTCTCTACTACTTTCTTTATTGGGTAGGTAGCTAGCAATCAGCATATACCAACAAACAAATGGGAAACTCCGCTCAACGTTGATGCATTATCATGCATATAATTGAAAAGAGAGGACCTTAAAAGATAATTTTTTGCTCAGCAAAAGGGGAACAAAAATAAGACATAACCACATTAATATATATAAATCTTAAGTGTACTCTCTTTCTCTAAGCCTCCAACCCATACTGGCCTACTCCATTACTTCTACTCAAGAGTGGGTATATGGAGTGCATATTCTCAATTTTGTTCTATGCTTTTTTTTTTCAAAACATTTTGTGTGGATGCGTGCGAAGGCTGCATCCTTTTATAAAAATTAGGCAATTCGTTTGTTGTTGGTGGCAATTTAAGCATATGTAGCCATAATAAACAACAACGAATCGAGCCCAGTAAAAGGGTAGTAGGACTAGAACTAAGGGTAGTAAGACTAGAACTATCTATGAGATTTTGGTTATTTTCAAAAGGAAACAAGATAACGTGCAAACAATATGTTTGTTTACTTTATATATAAATATGCAATATGCATGAAGTATTTAGATTATAAAACGAATATAAATATTTAATAGGAAATAGAACAACGACAAAACAATGTGTTTATTTCAAAATGATTAAGCTCTATATTAGTTTACTTCACAATCGCCACACTTTTAAAGGTCGGTGGGGTTGTGGGAAATGAAGAGAAGGGTGGTTTTCGGGAATTTTTCAACGTTCGAAATTATTCATGTCGAGGGGAGAGGACCACATAATTCTCTTACTAGATTTTTCATGTCCGTTTCTTATTAGACGGAAATATATCATTCATATCGTATTTGTCCCTTTTATTTTTCACTCTAACTCTATAGATTAATCTAATGACTAATTAGAGGTAAATAAATCACATAATGTTTAAAAAAACCTTCGTGAGGATTAGACTTCATAACCTGAACTGAATCGATTGACCATATCATTCAAAACTTATTTTATGTATTAGACTTTAATTCTTATGCAATTTCCTTCATTTCTCCAAACTATATTTTAAACAATCCGTCAGCAGTCAAAACCAACATCTTAAGGAAAATAATGCATATATGGAATTTTTTGTTAGTTTGATTTTGAAGTGTCATATTATAGATCTACTAACTTTTCATACGAAAATGGTGATTACTTTCTAAAACTTATGGGTCAATGTTGATATAGAAAAGTAGTTAATTATTATATTATGATCAATAAAGATTGATACTCCCTTATGATTTTGTATTACGGTTCCCCCAATTCAAATTATAATGGTGTTAGAGTTAGTGAATAATAGTCCAACACCTAATAAATAAGTACTTTTTTTTTGTTTATGATGATTTTTAGTTCTATCAATTAAAATAGAACGATATAAACAATGGGCTAACTAACAGAAACCATAAAACCAACCGCAGGCCGTTGCGGAGCTCGACAACCGCCTGTCTAGTTAATTAATTATAAAAATGAAGACATAAAGAAAGTGGATCGAGGTTCTCAATCTTGCCCACTTGAGTGGAGCAAGCGGATCCGATAAAAGCAAATAATATTTTTTTGTGCAAGGCTGGGTATAAGAGATTTGCACGGTGGATTCAGGGACTTAACGTTGATTCGATAAGGAACGGAGAACCTTCCTTATTATCTGATCACTTACAAGTTAATGACAAAGGAGAAATGTGGTATTTATATCCTACTTGGGTTTGGTGGGAAGATCCAGATGACAAGACAGGGTAGTCCGATACAGATACGCGGGTCCCCCAGTGTCCTTTCCGCGGATTCCTCTGTGCATGATCCTTGGGTGGTTGACTCGCACGAAATTACATCACAATTAAACCCCAATTAGAGCCCAAGTATTTAAACTCTAATCGGGTGTAGTATAGGGCAAGTATCTATATATCTACCAGGGCCGGTCCGTCTACCCCTACTTCGATTATTGAAATCATTATCTAGCGATAAAACTTTGGTTTAAAGGTTTTCCAATTGAAATGAATGAAAGAAAAAGTAATTTGGTTTGAAAACTCTTTTGTGGGAAAGTCACTTGGGTTTCGCTTCCCCCTAACCGCTACAATGCTATGTGGGTTGGAACGATTGCCCAGGGCACGTTAATCGTGAACCGCAGAGGAAAGCGTATGTGGTGGGAGACCACAGTCTCGATTGCTAAACCGAGGTGAGGATTCAAGGTCGTGTGACTCGACCCTCTCGGTTTAGACAATCGGTAATCAGCTTACTTCCTCACTCAACTCTAAGGTCGGACGGTTTAACCACGATTAATTGACTTGTTCAATTCAATATCGAGGATTGGCCTAACTCAACCTAGTTTAGGTGGCTTGGAAAGCGGAAGGAAAACCAACTCAATTGAGTCTCCCTTAGAAAGGGGGATTTTCCACTCTAAACTAGGCTAAGTTGGCAAATTAGATTACTAGCACCTAAATGCACAAACTTAGGGGTGCTAAGCACAATTATGCACAATCCCTAGGATGCTAAGCTCCAAATATGCACAACCCCTAAGTTGCTAAGCACAAGCATGCAAAATCATGGTGAAAAATACCTCAAACATTAAATTGAACAATGCCCAGTATCAATCATCCAAACCACATACAAGAAAACTACATGGTAGGGTTTAGGGTTTCACTACACCCAAGTGGGAGGAGGACTACTCCATGGAAGAAGTTGAAAGAACAAAGGGGGAAAAAGGTGAAAACCATATTTTGGGGATGCCTCCTCTCTTCTTCAACCTTGAGCTGGAATTTCCTTGGCGAAATCTTCCCAAAACCTCCTTTGAAGCCAAGCCCTAACCTCTTCTTCTCTTTGGTTCTGTTTCTCTCACTAAAATGCAGAAGAAGGTGTTTCTCTCACAAAAGTGGTTCCTCCCACTCTCCTCCTTGCAGCTCAGCTTTTAAACCCGAGAAGAGCTGAGTTCACGGCCGTGAACCATCAAACGCGTCCGTGAACTCACGCCTTGCGCCCAAAAAGCTCCGCATCGATCACGGTAGTTCATGGGCAACTGCTTGTGTTTACGGTCTTAGTTACCGTGAACTCGCCTTGCATCAGTAACCTTCAACTTGGCTCTGGACGCCTTGCGCTTCATGGTCAAATCCCCCTTCTTCACGGTCTTTCACGACCGTGAACTCCTACCTTTAGCCATGAACTTGCATTTTTTCACCTCTTCTCCCGGTTTTTTTATCCTTTTTGCCAATCCTTCGACTCTAAGGCTGGTTCCACCTGTTAAATCCTAAAAAGCACTCAAACACGAAGAACCTAACATAAAAATAACCTCTAATTAGCGAATTTGGCACAAACAACAAAGCAAACCGGGGGGAAAATATGTCCAATTAGGTCCGAATCAGCGGTCCTTCCACGGACCAAGTTGCGAAGGTGTGCGCTTCCTGCGGTGTTCAGCGGATGAGCGGGAAAACGCCTAATCACCGCACGTGTCTCTCACGCATCCTTCTTGATCTTTTCCCCCAAAAATTGCCCCCAACAGGAGTTGGTTCGCGAGTGCCTCCTGCTTTAGTTCCTTCCTGTCACGATTCGCATTTTGTGCTCAAGTCCTTTCCGCTTTACGCCTTTGTATGTTTGATCCTGCAATTGATATTGCATTAGCGGCGTCTTTCTGCGGTTTGCGTACTTTCCGCGACTGGGATCCGCGGATGAACTGTTATTTTTTTTGGTTTGGCGGGGGAGGTTGCCACCCATTCTAGGGTGCGTTAGCAGCGGATCGTCGACTGACGTACATGTGGCACACTCTGGTTCTTTCGTTTGATAGATGATTTTGAATTTCAAAAATGTTGATTGGACGTGTTAGCGCGGGTTCCGAAGAGTCGCTCTGACGGTTGGAATCCTCTTTTCTGTTGTATATATTGGGGCGTGGTGTCGTGATTGACACACATCGTCTTCATTTGCGAAGAGAAAAAAACTTTCAGAGGTGTCTTTTTCCTCTTCTCCTTTGCTCGTTCTCTGCTACTTGTTGCCTCGTCTTCGATTCCGATCATCATTGCGGATTTAAGATGGAAGCCACGAAGATTGTCACTCAGGCCGTGATCGAGATCGACGATGGAGGTAATGACAATTCTGATCCCTCTATAGATTTTAGGGAGGTAGGAGTAGAGAATGATCAGTCTTCTTTTGGCGGTGCATTGCCGGAGACCCTGGGTTTTGATTCCGTTGGCGGCAACGATTTCCTTCGGAGTTCTTCCGATGGGGTGTCTTGTCGTGACGACGGTGATCGGAATGTACGGGAGACGCATTCCATGGAGGAACAGTGTAGTGATAAGGGGAAAGAGCACGTGATGGGGGAGAAATTAGCAGTACCTCTGATGAGATGGTGACGAACAGTTCACTTGCCTTGTCGGAGCCGACGAAAGTTTCGTTTTTGCGATTGTACGTACAACGGAAGCTGTGGTGCAGTTAGGGATGAATCTGGTTGGGGCCTCCTATACTATTTTGGACTGGGTAGAGATGTTTGAGGGGATTGATGTTTCTTCTTAACACCTCTTACGAGGTCTTGATCACACTTCCATTCTAAGTTGCGATGATTTGTTGCTCTACGTGAAAGGGCTCGGGTTGCCGCCCCATTGACAATACGCTGTTCCGTTAGAGTTCTTCCGTGTTTGGAATCGCCCCCGGGATGGTTCAGCATTTATAACGAGTATTGACAAATGGGGTTTAAATTCCCCATTGGGCCATTGCTCTGTCGTTTATATGATTTGGTGAAGTGTTCCCTAACGCGCTTTTCTCCCTCCGTGATTTTTCATACATGCGCGTTGCGCGCCATGTGTAAGCGGAGGAATTTGAATGTGACATATGGTCTTTTCCGCAAGATTTACAAGTTGAAGGCTCCGCGAGCCACTGGTCCAAAGAAAGGGAATGGTATTTCGCTTAAGCGTCAAGATAAAAACCCCAGCGGTTATGTGTACAGGTCGCCCAAGCTCGACAATGATTGGTTTAAAAAGTTCTTTTATGTTAATTCGGCACCAGGGAGTTTACAGATTTTCCTGTGACCTTCCCCTCTTCATGGTATAACGGGTCTATAAAAGACTTCGAATCGACTGTGGGCACCAATCCGCAGCTCTAGACGCACTACGATCTACTGCAGACTGAGGGGGTGGATCTTCATGAGAGGGGTTCACGCGAAGCCGTGCTTAGGGAGCTATACCTTGATGGTTAGTGGTCTTCCTTTTTGGATAGCCTCTTCTTGTATTAATCTTGTTCTTACAACTTATGTAACACCACACCCTAAAATCATGAAACGAACCAATGGTTCAACAGCGCAGCGGAAATCACTCGGGGTTTACGTTTTCAAAATCTTGACTCAACTGACATCCACATCATTATGATATGTTTAAAATTAAACTCATCATAACAATTCACTAAAAATCATATTCTCAATTCATTAATCCATCTTTGTCAAATTCAGGATTCACAAAACCAAGACTATCAATCTCGTCTACTCCATTGATGCTCAACTCAAGTTAATGATCATACTTGACCAAAGTAAACTATCATGCATGCTCAAAACTCGAATCGTAAAAATAAGGATTTCGAAGTACACCAATATGTGAAAACCTTTTAAATCAAAATCCTCCATCGATCATTGTGCAGTGCCAAAGTCATCCTCAATTTACCACACCTGTCACATCTAGAAAGAAAAATGGGTCAGCTACTAAGCTGAGTGTGTGGACCTGGCCTATATGGCAAAACTATTGTTAGCATGCCATCAAATCTTGTTGATTAAAAACACATCATCAACATATTATCATGTCACACGAAAATCTCATTAATCCTAGATTTATTTCTAGGTCATCAATCCAAATTCATATTTAGACAATTCCTCATGGCATGATTCTCATTAATCAAGTCATATATCAAAATTATATCGTAAACTTACCTCCAATCAGGAATTCATCATATCAATCCTTCACTCAAACTCAACTCATCATTTAAACATCACCTATATCAATTATCCATCAACTATCAAATCACCAATTTGGTATCAATCATATCAATCTTTCTGATAGCACCCTGGATGGGTGTTGGGTCAGAATTGCGCAACTTAACGCAAGGAATTCAAGTTCCTTGTTTGAGAACTTAAGAACAGCGTCTTCAAACGAGCTCGAGTAGGCTGGTTTGAAAGGGTTTCGATGGAAACGAAAGGGGACTCTTACACCAGGAAGAGTACTCGATCATTATGAGGTTGCCTTTGATGTAATCGAGTGGGTTTGCTCGATTAATAGGCCTAGATTCAGAAAGCTTTGATCGCAACCAAAACCAAGACAACTCACAACTCAAACGTTGGGAATATTGGGGTTTTCTTCATAAAATCAACTATGCCTCTTACAAAACGTGAATGAGGCCTTTTATAGCCTTAAACAATTACAAACAAACTCAAACAAGGACTGAAATTAACCTAGTTAAACAAGGAAACTAATTAGACAAGTAATCTGCAACGGACTAGGAATCTAATAGGACTCGAATTACTGGCAGCTCGAGGTAGCTTCTTTGTGGCCCTCGAAAATGGTCTTCCACGTTGATTCGAGTTCAACCAATGCCTTTCCTAGGTTTATGAAGTCTTCTAGTTTCCATTCTAGCTTGAATCAGCCCGAGATCATACTCCAAACTCCAGCAATTGTGTCCCAAAGTCAGCACCTCGAACATGCGAAATGACTTAGCCAAAAACAGGCAGTTTTCTGGTTCTGAGCTAGCAACTTGGTGAACTTTGAAATCAATCTTCTGGACTTCCCCTTGAGCCCCAAGCACTTGTCGTTGAAGAAGACATCCCTAGCTTCAAAACAAGTTATTAAACACACATTTTCATGGAGCCAATCTCTAGATTCAAGCCTTTTAATTAGGTAACCTGAAACAACAAAATGACTTAGCCAATTTTCAGGTTCATTGTTGTGTATTGAACTAGCTTCTTGATTACTCCATGGAAGCTGAAATGGCTTGTGATTTGGGATCATATCACTTTAAATCAATCATCAATCGAATACAACCTCACGATTTCTTTCATGGAAATAATCTCCATCACATATCATATGCAATGCATGAAATGCAGACTCTCCATTTGTTATTAATTTGCGCACTAAGGTCACCATGCGCCCACCCCGCTCGAGCTCATCATCTTAGTGGTTATATAAAAAACCACAATCTCATCAAATCTAGGATTATCATAAATCCTTTCATTAGGACCGCAACCCAATCAATTTCATAGGGGTTGACATAGACTCTTCTATGTCTATGTGATTTAACATGATCAAACAATATCAATTTCTCTCTTCCATCATATCTCATTCGATCCAAGAAATCAACAACGTCCCATTGATAGTCCCAGTCCATGCATATCTCACATCATCTATGCATACTTTGATGCATTGCATGATCTCAATATAATCATCATCTTCTTAATGATATAAATAATTCATTCTCTTCGATCAAACTTGACAAATCTACAAAGTACTCAATTTATCAATACCTCATTCACTCATCGTAATCATTTAACACATCAAATACAAATCGATCATGATAATATCTCATCCACATCATCATTAATCAAAGCAATCATCATACCAACATTGTCACAAAATATCTCAGTAATATGTATATTTACCAATCACATTTATACCAATCGATATTCTAATCACGTCATACTCATACACGTCAATCGTGTCACTATCACTCAATATCCCTATCATCGTCATCATCATGTCATAATCATACTTATCAATAATCAATATATATTTTATTCATCATCAAATCATTTTATCATACGAACCATATAATAATAATAATAATAATAATAATAATAATAATAATACATCAATTCATCCCTATCGTCCATTAACTAATTTCATCATCATATCAACTAAAAATATTATGATCAAAATTTTGTTTTCATGAATTTATATTAATAACTTGAAACCATTATAAGGACCATACCCAATATATATTCTCGTGATTATTAAAAGATCTCCATTAATTACACATCTCATAGTGATCATATCTTAAAATACAGATCCAAATCGAAATCCATTAATAAGACCATCTTTTGTATTTAAACTAAATACTCAATTAACCATTACTAAAAGTTGTTCTGAATACGTAAATCAAATCAATCCAACATAACATAACACAGGGCAATCATTGTGACCTCATACTCTAGTTTAAATAAATTCCATAATCACTATTATTTTCAAAATCATAATACATTCTCTAATAACAAAACCTAGTAGAAACCTGTTTCGTTCATCCAAAACTCCAACAAAGTTCATAAATCCTTTCTTTTAATTATCCAGACGAGAGTCAACTTCTCATATTCTTACTCAATTCATAAATTCACTATTTATCCTCGTAAAATTCATAATATCATTTAATTTCAACAAAACCCAATTATCACAAATATAATTATTCTTATGGTGAGATCTCATGACCAAAGACCATCTCACTAGGTCTTAAATATCTTTTTCTCGTTGTGATAGCAGTAGACATTTTTCAAAAATACTCGGTTTTCCACATATACGTCAACAATTCCAATACGAGATTAATAATAATTATTATTATCATAAAACTCAGTTGAATTCATCAAAAATTTCATCCAAGATCACAATCATGAATTAATCACAAATCCATCATAATCATCAATCATCAACTCAATCATGTGTATTTAAAAAATAAACATGTAATTCTGGTTCCCTTTTACCGTAAGCCCACACACCATATTTATGAGAAAACTGATTCTGTGACGACTCTGTAAATTCTGAATCTCACTTTAATATTATTCTCCTCATCCTCACGATCCTCTAGGCGAAGACGGTTCATCATTTGGACGTCAAACGAATGAAATATGAATTCTGTAACAACTCAAAGCACTAGGTACAGGTTTCGTAAATTTTCAGTCAGCATCTGATCATTGACCTCTTTCACAGGTAAATTACGGAAAGGTACTCAAAAATTTTGAATTCACAGTAATGGTACATGAACCGATCGATTTCCATCCCAAACTTCACAAGCTCGTATCTTACTCGTCTGACGTCGAAAATGGGTTTCGTCGAAACTAACGCGCTCCTGAGATCGTCCTCTTTGTCATGGTACCAAACTTTAGGAGTTTTTTTGAAGTCATCGATGCTGTTGCCGCCAATGCAACTTTCGGGCGAGCCTCCGACGAACTCTTAGAAACCTTCAACGACAATTCTGACTCCGTAGATGGTCTCCAGACATCCAATATCTCTAATACAACCTACAGGAGCTTGGTTCCCTCTATTTTATTTATTTCCCTCGTCTTTCCTCTCAAGGTTTTTCGTTCGTTCATGGCGATGGTGAAATGGGAGGAAGAAAGAAAGCTTTCCATCTTTGTTTATCAAAGCCTCCAGAAGACCCTTCTCTCAATTATCACACGTCAACAGGAAGTGGGTGGGCGAGTGAAGGCTGTCGGTTGGTAAGCCTTTAACAAAGTCGGTCTCTAGTTCAAGCTTTGCTGGAAGTGAGGTGCAGAGGTGGTGGTATGTAAACAATTTTAGAATGAATAAATTGGATTGGCTATTTAATTCCACCATTCCGTCCAAAAACTTAATATTAAAGAAAGGATTCAGTGGTCGACAGTTAATGGAAAGTTCGTTGTGGAAATGCTCCTTCTGAAATCTTCTCCTTGTCTATATGATCGTGTGAGCGCAAACAACTCGTTGTTTCGATTCCAAACAAAGAAGTGCCCAAATTAGTGTCGATACGTACGTTATTTCAATAACTGAGTATGGACTTCAAAATGACATATCTCACTCATTTGGAATCCAAATGTAATTCTGTAAAATTCTACGTGATTGTAGAAGAATTTTATAACTTGTGGAATCGAGATTTGTTCGCAACCTCTGATACATCATTCCAGAATATTCGTCATTTCATAAACCATTTGGCGTGGTCGCAATTTCTTCGAGTATGGTTGAAATTCTTGATTCCTCATCAAACCGAATTGATTTATAAATTCCCCGAGGTTTGGGATGTTACAACTTATCTTTGTAGGGGTGAACTACAACTTTGTCGCGGTGATTATTACTGTGGCGGATCTTCCAGCGCCGCCGAGTGGCGGCGGAAAGAGGAAGAACGTAAGTACACCGCCGAATCCGAAGGTGTCCAAGGTGGCTTGGATTGAGCAGCGGGACGGAGGTGGAATCCAAAAAACCTCCGAGTTTGGAGAAGGGAGCAGGCGGGAGCCATGGTGCTCTAGTAACGCAAACAGGGAAGGTTCCAGGCGGGAGATCCGAGGTTCAGAATATGCAGCAAACCCTGCCGAATATGGCGGTCTTCCAAGACATGGCGAACCAATGTCGGGACATCAAATTGCCAATTGCGGCTGCTCAAACCCTTCCAGTCGTGCAACTGGCCTTGAAGGCTGTTGGTGCCGCTCTTGCTCTTGCTGTGCGGATGGAAACCAGTGATCCATTCTCGAATTTGGCGCATGCTCAATTCTAGGTTCGTCTGTTTTCTCTTATTTTTCCTTTGTTAATTTTGTTATGTTGTCGGCCGGTCGGGTAATCTAGTTTCCTCTGTGTTGTGGCAGTCTTTGGTGGCCAGCTTCCACACGCAGAAGGAAAAGGTAGATGTTATGGCGTGGTTTGGGGTCGGAGCAGGCTAAGGTGATCCACCTGCAAAGTCAAGCGGTAGGTGCTGAACGGTGTGTTTCCTCAATCCAGAAGGATTGCGACGAAGCTCTCGCCCGTGTGGAAGAATTGACTCGTAAGCTGAATGACAATCTTTCCGCCGAACGGGAGAAGGCGCAGGCTAAAGAGCGGGCGAGCATCTGAGCGGAGGTGAAGCGTGAGTTCGAGGAGGAAAAGAAACTTCATGAGACGGAGTTGGAGCGAATTTGATCAGAATAACCCCGGGAGTCCCCTGCATTTGGGAAGTACCTGGCGGATTGCATGTACCATTGTGGCGGTGCGCAAGAAAGTGCGCACGGATAACCCCGAGAGTCAGTGGAACACCCGTGACATGGTGCGTCATGTGCAACAATTTTTCAAGGAGAATCAGTCAATGTCAGATGACTCCGAAAGCGAAACCGAGGAGGAAGGCGCTGCTGGGTCTGGAAGCGGTGTTGCTGCCGAAGACTGATTTGTGTTTGCTTCAGCTGTTTTTTTATCTTTTGAAGTATGAATAGCATTTTCAATTCTCGGAATGACAATCTTTTCACGTTTGGAATGAAAGCCACTTGTATGTTTAACCCGTATTCTCGTTGTCTAGGCGCTTTACTTCTTTGTAGGCGTACTTTGATTTTTGGGATCGGTTGACGTGACTTGAGATTTGTAATCGTAGTAGTGAGGCGCATCCGCACTCGTTTATCTTTCATTGAGAATTTTTTTCTCGTAGTAGAGAGGCGTACTTTGCACTCCTTTTATTATTGAAATTTCTTGTCGTACGTATTACATTGGTTGAGCGGGTTGATACAAACGCAAGTTTTGCGCGTTCCACATCTTGTGTATTTTTGTCCCACTCAACTCTGCCAAGCTTGTACGGGCCTTCCCATGACGCGCCAAGTTTCTCGTGCCTCTTGTCTGGTCAGAAATTCCACCGTAACACTTGATCTCCGTGTTTGAGCTTGTGTGGTCGGATCTTTGCATTAAGGTACTTAGCAACTTGTGCTTTCTCTTCCGCTAGGCGGATGGATGCCAATTCCCGACGTTTGGTGGCGAGGTCGAATTCTATCATCCATATCTCTATGTTGTTGGCTTCGTTGTATAGTTCGATTCGAGCGACGGGAATATTTGTTTCAATGGGGATGACTGCTTCAGTGCCATACGTGAGTGCGAATGGGGTATCACCCGTGGCGATTTTGTATGTTGTGCGGTGGGACCATAAGACACTGTGGAGCTCGTCTGGCCAGTTGTCTTTCGCTTCGTCTAGGAGGATATGCAACCCATGCAATATACCTTTATCGGCGGCTTCAGCTTGACCGTTTGCTTGAGGGTACGCGGCGGATGCAAACCTTGCGATCATACCAATCTGGTCGCACAAATCTATCACTTTCGCATAGTCAAATTGGGTGCCATTGTCGAAGACTAGCGATTGTGGGGTATCGAACCTGGATAGGATGTTTTGGGTGAGGAAGCGGGTGACTTGTTGAGCTTTGATTGAGGTAGTCTACCGCCAGGATCAAATATTTGCTCTTTCCCTATGCCGTCGGTAAAGGTCCGAGCAGGTCAACTCCCCATTGTGAGAATGGCCACGGGCTGATATTTGATTGTAAATCCGCCAACGGGGTGTGATGTAGGCGGGCTTGGATTTGCCACTTGTGACATCGATCGACATATGCTTTGGCATCCTTCTTGATTCGCGACCAGCAATAGCCGCTTACCAGAATAGATCTTTCTAAGCTTCTCGCTTTGTGGTGCATAGCACATATTCCTTCACGGACCTCGCACACAACTCGAGTGGCTTCCGCAGTACTCAAACACTTTATGTATGCCCCAACATGCGATAGCCTATATAGCTCTTGGCCAATGATTGTGCATCAAACCGCCTTTTGTCGAAGCTCACAAGCTTCTTTTGGATCCTCGGGAACTTTGGCCGTGGTGAGATATTCGAGTATGGGGTTGCGCCAGTCCTCATAAGCGTTTTGGGTGGTATTGATGGTAGCGGATTCGGTGTTTGAAAGGTATCCCTCCTTATGCACCGAAACCATTCAAGACTCCTCAAAATTCGTGATTGTGGTCAACTTGGATAGGGCGTCATCATGAGCATTTTCTTCCCGTGGAACGTGGACACATGTGATGGAGTGAAAGCTTCCGGCATCCGCCTTTATCCTCCGTATGTAGTGTGCAAGACCCACTTCTTTCGCGTCGAAGACGCCATTGAGCTGATTGAATACTAGAGCAGAATCCGATAATACCCTTATTGTTCTTGCTCCTAGATCATTGGCAGCACATAGTCCTGCTACCACGTCCTCGTACTCAACTACATTTTTTGTTTGAGCTCTCGAAAGCGGATTACTATCTCATGTATAATGCCCAGTGGTGTGCGGATCACAACTCGTGCCCTCGCCCCGTGCTTGCTTGCGGCTCCATCTATGTGAACTTCACACGTTCCTTTTGTGGCGGTTTTGAGGACCACCCCTTCCTCTATGAAATCTGCCAAGACTTGTCCCTTTATCGCTGGTCGCGGTGCGTATTTGATGTCATATTCAGAGAGCTCTATTGCCCACTTCACCATCTACCTCCATACTTCCATGGAACTTAGGATTTTTATAAGGGGCAAGTTGGTAAGCACAGTGAGTGCATGCGTTTGGAAGTATAGTCACAACTTTTGAGATGCTGATACCAGCACGAGAGTTGCCTTTTAGATGGGCGAATATCGTGTTTCCGGGCCGGTCAACGTGCACGATGTATAATACACTACCCTTTCACCAGTACCTCTTGATCCTGGAAACTAATACTACGCTTATCGCTCTAACTAACATCGCAAGGTAAAGATAGAGCATTTGATTTGCCTCTGGGGAAACCAACACAGGCTGGCATACAAGATACATTTTCAGTTCTTCAAAAGCCTTTTCACACGCGGCGTCCCACTTGAGCTTTGTCCCTGCCTTGAGAGTTTGGAAGAACGATGCACATAGATCGGCGGAGTGAGGGAGGAATGTTCCGAGCGCGGCAAGCTTTCCCGTCAATGACTGGACTTCTTGTGCGCTGCGTGGAGCCTTTAGCCGTACAATGGCATCCATTTATTTTGGATCGACTTCAATTCCTCGCCTAGTGATCATGTGACTGAGGAATTTCCCGGCATCTGTTCCAAACACGCATTAAGCGGGTTGAGGCACAAGTTGTGAGTGGGGAGGGTCGCGAAGGTTTCGCGTAAGTCATCCAGGTGGGACTCTCTGCGCTCGGACTTGACAATGAAATCATCAACGTATGCCTCGACATTACGACCTATCTAATTCTCGAAGACTGTGTGGATAAGGCGTTGATAGGTGGCTCCGGCGTTCATTAGTCCAAAGGGCATCCCGACGAAAAATAAGTTCCCAAACGGGGTCATGAAAGCGGTTTTTTCCTGGTCTTCACGCCTCATGGGTATTTGGTGGTACCCGGAGACCATTTCCAAGAATGAGAGCATGTCGTGGTTGGACATTGCATCCACCAGAAGGTCGATCCGCGGGAGTGGGTAGATCACTTGCGCAGACTTGTTGAGATTTGGGTAGTCGACGCACATGTGCCGAGCCCCCGATGCTTTTTTCACTAGGACCACGTTGGAGAGCCATTTTGGATACTGAATTGGTCTGATCAGGCCCGCTTCTAACAAACGCGCTACCTCTTCTTTGATAGCTTTCAGCTTCTCTCCGGTGAAAGTCCGTTGACCTTGTTGTATTGGTTCCGCGTTTCTTGGTACAGCTAGGTGGTCTTCCACGGTTTCCCTTTGAACCCCAGGCATGGCTTGTGTGCTCCAAGCAAAGAGCTCTTTGTACTCCACTAGAAGTTGTATGAGCGGCTGCATCATATCATCGGGTATGTGGGTCGACAGGCGGACTTGTTGGTCAGGTTGGGCGGGATCTGATGGTATTAGGATGTCTGATTCTGCAGGGACTGGCCGTGGCTCCTATTGTCCTCCTCTGTGATGTGGGCTCCCTGTGCTCGCCTCTCGAGAAGCTTGTCCCCTTTGAAGTTGAGAATTTTATGAGTAGGTGGCATGTGGATGGTCTATTTGAATAGGATTTACGCGGCACTGCCTCCGTCTATGAGCAAATGGTGCACCTTACATTCAGCAACTAATGCGTGGATGAGCAGCGGATCCTCGGACATACCTCCCTCTCGGTACTCATCATAGCTGAAGTAGAGCAGTAACATCGACATTGTTAATGCTGCCGCACATTCAAGCGCCCTTTCCCTCTTTGGTTTCTTGTGCGGCCTGGTACCTTCTACTGAGACTATCCCAATTTCCTTCCGTATCACAAGGTCGCCGGTTTCTTCATCGTACCCCATTTGTGGGGGTGTGGCGGTTTCTGTGGCGGCGCACAATCTCTTGTCTGTACGTATTCTACGAGGTTCCCTATGCGGTATCCCTTCTCTCTGACCGTGTGAAAAATGTTCCTCACCGTGTCGTTCAACGGTGTGAAATTTATGTTGTTTCTGTTCCGCTCCGGAGAATGCTTTCTCTAGGGTTCGACCACGGGTGCCATGTGCGGTTTTCCGAGTCCGCTATGGTAGTGGGTCAGCAGGAGCGGTGGTTGGTGATGCGGTTGCTCATCTCTGGCGTTCATTAGTTTGAATCGGTGGATTGACCATGCCCCAGGGTCTCTTCTAGTGTGATCGCCTTTTCCACCTTGGCCTCCAGCTTTGGGGATGATAACAGGGGGCGTTTGGCCAACGAACGCCTTAGCTTAGAATTGTTCGTGGAATCCATAAGATGACGCGCAACATTTTCAGGGGTCAAGTCCCGAACTGCCATGGCAATACGAGACCACCTAGAATATAGCGCTCTTAGGCTTTCGTTGTCCTTTTGCCGCACGTCCACGAGTGCCACTGTATGTAGTGGTCTCCATTTTTGGGAAGCAAACTTTGTGGTGAATAGGAGGATGAATTCATCAAACTTGTGAATTATCCAGTTTGGTAGGCAGTTTTACTAGTCAAGGCAAATGCTTGCGAAGGTGGATGGAAAGGTGCGGTACAAGACCACATTAGAACACGTTTGAAGCTGCATGTGCAGGCAGAAGGCGCTGACGTGGTCTTCTGGGTCAGTTGTCTCATTGTAAGTTGGCAGCCTCGGGGGGTTTCCCATCATTTGTTCCGCCATAATTGTTGCACAGAGGGGTTGATGGAGA